TTATATCAATTAAAACTATGAGTCATTCAATTAATATATCTACATCTTAACTAAACTGTTCCGTATAGTTACGTCTTTATGTACAAAGACATTTAGATATCAGATTAAAAACTATTGTGTGAAAATTTGGTTTCGGATATAAAACTTAACAATACGTAAAAATTTGCACGAAATAACAAATCTAATTGAAGTAAAGTGTTTTCCGATACTGATGGATATTTATACGTTCTATTATGTACCCCCTTTTTTGTTTCATTGATCGATATAGAAAAAAATTCAGAAGACCATTTGAACCACACTACATGTTTGCGTCGTCCTCAAAAGCCAGGAAAGATAGCAGTCGTTTTAATCGGTCAATTGTATATTATGTAAGATGTTCATAAAGAGTAATGTGAATGGCATATCTTTGAGAGTCTATTCAAAGAATTTAAAAATTTTCCACGCATAAGGGATAGGGTACCTTACAGTATGAATAGTGTCGCAGGAACCGTGTGTATACTACAATGCAACATAGTTCACCTTTGAGTTTTGATATTCCAAACTTGTAACGGGGGCTTTATTTCAATACCCGTGTTCGTCCTCTAATTTGTCTTTTCGTTCGTCAGATCGTCCAACAAATATTTTCGTCACACATTTCAAAGGTACTTCAAAACAGAATGACTCCACATTTGGAAAGCGGCTTAAAAGAAAAAGAGTGAAAAATATCAACTTTACAAATAAATAAAAAATTTAATACACCATGGCCAGAAAAGAAAAACGATGAATAGACACATAACAATAACAAATCAGATATATCAGAAGTTAGGGCAACACAAACCTTACATACAAACCCTGAAGGAACTCATACGGTGACCTATAATTGCTTAAACAAAAGTCATTTGTACTCTCTTGAAGAGCTGTATCATTAGCAACCGTACCAAATCTCCTTATTTATATCTTATCTTTCGGATCAGTTAACAGGAGTTTTTTGTTGTTATTCAAATCTCGTCAATAGATAAGGAAGATAGCAATTAAGATAATACATGTAAACAAAACCTGAGGGAATCGTATGAACCCCAATATGAGGGGCACCAGCTGCGTGAACATGGTAAGCGTCTCTTTCTATGCTTTCACCACTCATCAAGCTCTTTATAGATACCAGAAGTAGAATTGTGTACGTAAAACGCACGTTTCGTCTAAAAAAGACCTATCAGTGACGCTCGATTCAAACAAGTTAAAATGGCATAAATAAAGAATCCACACCCAGTGTGAAAATGTCAGGATCGGTAAAATGACAAATCAGACAACGTTTTTGGTATATCAAAATATAAGAACGCGAAAATATGTCGCTATTGAACTGAGACACAGACTCAAATAATCCCCCCAAAACAAAGTATGAGATTGATATCTTTGCATGGCATTTGAAAATCAAAATGTATTATAAAAACAGCACTCAGCTATTCATAAGATATTAGTCTGACAGATATGAGTTTTTAAAGTATTGAATGTTGTCTTACATGTGTCTGCATTTGGTCTTCAAACTTCTTGAATTTAGTTCAAAAACACAAACAAATCGTTTACAAGTGTGTATAATGATCTTTTTAATACATCACACAAAGTTGAAAATTGCACTTCATATCATTCCTTTTAGCGTGATAGACTCATTAATAATTTCATTCTCTTATGATTCTGGTCTGCCATCTATATCCCGCATGAAGAGATGAGATATTTCACTGAATGGAGGGTGATAAGAATAAGTGATACGAAAATTGCGTTAATTTTGTTAGCCTATTCTGCAATGTGTTAGAAAATTTCAATATTTCTATTGGCTATTTCGTTATGTGAATGATAGGGATTTAAACTAGAAAATTTTATAAAAGCTTATAAACGTATTGTCGCATAATTCTAGTTATTAATTAAAAGTTATGACGAATCAATCATACTCTAATATCTATCTTTGTCAAAATCGTTGGTTTTATTACGCTACTACATGTAACTAAAGTTGGACAGTAAAAAAAAGATTTTTTTTGAGAAAAGCGTTATTTGATAAATGTGCAAATGACAAGATTAAAGGTAGCTCGAGTGTAAGAATAAAGGGATATTTTCTTTAGCATGTTTAAATTGTAATAACTATGTATTGGGTGATGGAAAATTAATATAAAACTGTTAAATAGAACGAAAAACACTACAGCTAAAACAATATTGATTAGATAAAGACATCTTCTTCAAAACCTTTATAATGATTTTGAAAAATATTGCATAACGCACATCTCAGCTAACTAATTTTTGCCAGTGCAGACATGCGCTATGAAACATATAAACATTAAATAGTTAAAATATATTACTTGTTGAGAATTATTATATCAATAAAAACTATTGAGTCATTCAATTAATATCTTTAAATCTTAACTAAACTGTTCCGTATAGTTACGTCTTTATGTACAAAGACATTTAGATATCAGATTAAAAACTATTGTGTGAAAATTTGGTTTCGAATATAAAACTTAACAATACGTAAAAATTTGCACGAAATTACAAAGCTGATTGAAGTAAAGTGTTTTACGATACTGATGGAAATTCATCCGTTCTATTATGTATCCCCTTTTTTGTTTCATTGATCGATATAAAAAAGAGAAGACCAGTTGAACAACACTACATGTTTGCGTCGTCCTCAAAAGCCAGGAAATATAGCAGTCGTTTTAATCGGTCAATTGTATATTATGTAAGATGTTCCTAAAGAGTAATGCAAATGGCAGATCTTTGAGAGTCTCTTCAAAGAATTTAAAAATTTTCCACGGATAAGGGATAGGGTACCTTACAGTATGAATAGTGTCGCAGGAACCATGTGTATACTACGGTGCACCAGAGTTCACCTTTGAGTTTTTATATTCCAAACTTGTAACGGGGCTATATTTCAATAACCGTGTTCGTCCTTTAAATTGTCGTTTCGTTCGTCAGATCGTCCACTAAATTTTTTTGTCACACATTCATAAGGTACTTCAAAACAGAATGACTCCACATTTTGCAAGCGGCGTAAATAAAAAAAGAGCGAAAAATACCAACTATACAATGAAAATCATAAGATGGCCAGAAAAGAAAAACGATGAATAGACACACAACAATAACAAATCAGATATATCAGAAGTTAGGGCAGCACGAACTTCACATACAAACTTTGGAGGAACTCGTAAGGTGACCTATAACTGCTTAAACCAACGTCATTTGTACTCTCATGAAAAATGGTCTCATTAGCAACAATACCAGATCTCCTTATTTATATCATATGTTTCGGATCGGTTTACAGTAGGTTACTGTTATTCAAATCTTGTAAATACATTTAGAAGATAAAAATCAAGGTAATAAACAAAAACTGAGGGAAACGCGTGAACTCCAAAATGAAGGAGACCAGCTGCCTTGACAAGGTATTCTACTCCTGGTATGATTTTATCAACCGTCATGCGAATAAACACATCACAGATTCCAGGATTAAAATTGTGTACTCCAGATGTGCATTTCTTGTACATAAGACTCACCAGTAACGCTCGATTTAAAAAAATTAAAAAGAAAGGCCAAATAAAGAATCCACACCCAGTGTAAAAATGTCAGAAACGGTAAAATTAAAGATCAGACGACTATACTGTTAATTAAAGATATAAGACCAGGACAGTATGATGGTCGCTATTGAGTTGAGACACAGACGCCCGTCCAACTAATAAAGTTCCATAACCTCGCAATGTCGTATCAGAAATTTATAAAAAAAACCAAAACGTAGCTTATCTCAATAGATATAAACAAGTCAACTATGTTTCATGATAACTGCTAAAAGCTTTGAATTATTGTCCAATACTGGAACCCCCCCCCCCCCCCCCACACTTTTGTATAAATAAAGTCCAAATACTCCAAAACGTAAAATCAGAAATTAATAAAAATCGAAAAATTGATATAATGTCGGTTTTTTGATAAGAGAAGAGATAGCGCTTCTACTCCTACCACAAATTTAGTTAAAATAATAGGGTTTATTTTTTGGTTTTGGAAATAATTATAATTATTCAGCTCATAATAAAAGTGACATTTTCGTTAAATTTAAGTTGAAAAATGTAAATCAAGACTAGGTCCGATTTTAACATCGGTAAACTACTATTACCCAAAGGACAAGGTACGATAAGCCCCTATTTTCACATTTTTTTCAAATTTTGTTTTGGAAAGCTACTTATTATGTTGAAATATTCCCTTAGGTTTGAAGTTTGTTTGGATGAACATAAAAACCATTAATTTCAGCAACTGGGTGAGGTGAGCGGGGGTGAAAGGGCATCAAAAACGTCAAAAGTAGGAAAAATTACGGTTTTTGGCCTGTGTTTCTTAAAAAGTTAATAGCGTGCGCCTACGTGACCCGGAGAAAATTATGGCGATCTAGACAGCAAAAACAGTGATAATGACATTGTAATAAAAAAATTCCTGGTACACGTTGGCGCAGGCACTTAAAAACAAAAAAATTACTGTACGGAACACCTCCAAAGTGAATAATAATTACAATATCTGAATAATAACGGAAAGTTTACCCCCCTCACCTCACCAAGTTGCTGAAATTAATGGTTTTGAAGTTCATCCAAACAAACTTCAAACCTCAGGGAATATTTGAACATAATAAATAGCTTTCCAAAACAAAATTTGAAAAATAAGAAAATAGGGGGGCCAAAACGGGGGCTTATCGTACCATGTCCTTTCCTCGTTTAAAGATTAGCTCACAATTACACCAAGACATCTAAATCTTATATCCCAGACTTTTTTTATTTATCGAGCATTCATGTATTACCTGATATATAGTACCTGTAAATACGAATATGCAACAATTTAAATTACATTGTCAAGGATATTTGATACCTTATTAAAATATGAATGCATGTATGCCCACAGTTTTAAACTTTTGGGGTATATTAAGAAATCTATTTCTGTTTTCTATTCCTAATAATCTACAATGAGATAGTATAATAAGATATAAAATTAAAATACATAAGACATACCTTCTTACTTGGTCAATCTGTGACGGTGAATGTGTACATACAAATATTAACAAAAGTACAAAGAAGGGCAAATTAGTCAACCAATATTCGTTCCAATCATGTCGCTTCATATGTGGAGAACGAAAACAAAAATCACCAGTCGGCACGTCCGACATATTCTACAGTGCGATGTTTGGAGCAAACAATCTTCAAGCAAACAGTACGAGAGGATTTCAGAGTATAAGGTCAGTCAGTAATATCAGTGCATTTGTTTTAATGGGAATCAGTGGGAAAAAAAGCAAAATTTACATTATATTATTTATCATTGATTACGATATATTTTATTTTAGGATTATCAATGATCACTATGTATGCTGCTTTAAATTTAATCTGTCATTTTTTTATACATTTAAAGTATAGAACATGTAGAAGCAAATTTTTCGTTTTGCTAAGCAAAAAGGGGGAAAAGAAAAACGTACTTATGAATGAAGCCTCAGTTTTATTCATTTTAACATAAATGTTAAAGCCTTTGTTTCTCTTGTTGAAAACCTCTAACACTTTTCAATCTGATTTAAATTCCGTAGAATTGATCAGGGTCTTTTTTTGGATTAGATAAATAACCAAACGGGATGCCGTTTAACTAGCAGCACAGAACAAGTATTCAAACAAAACATATTATTTTCATGTCGGGACCTTACATAGCCGACTATACAGTATGGGTTTTTCTCATTGTTGAAGGCCGTGCGGTTGCCTATAATTGCTTACATCCACTTTATTTGAACTTTGGTGGATAGATGTCTCATTGGCAATCATACCTATTCTCCTTTATATATCTTTACTGTAAGGTTTCGCGCGTTATGTTTACCAAGTTACAAATAATAATTCTCTTAGTGATAGGTGTTTTAAGAAAATAATTCATGTACAATGAAACTGGAAACAGTGCACAATTTATCAACAAAATTGCGCTATTATTTTTATTTCATGCTTTAGAAATAAACTAGCTTTAGATACATAATATAACAGATATGAACAAGGACCAATTACTTTCATTGTGACAATCAATAACATTCGAGCTATTTTCTTTTCAAAACGTATGAAACGTTTAACTTAAACAAAGAATGCATTTTGTTTGTTGAATGCTTCCTTGCTTTTCAAAGGGCTTTAAAGATTTAAACTCTAAAAGTGTATAAAAGTTCTTAGACGAATCGTCGCATAATTCCAGTTACTAATTCAAAGTTATGACGAATCAATCATACTCTAATATCTATCTATGCCAAACTCATTGGTTTTATTACGGTGCTAACTAAAGTTGGATATTAAAACAAAACGTTTTTTCAAGAGAAACGTTACTTGATAAATGTGCAAATGACAAGATTTAAGGCAGCTAGGGTGTCTTCTGCCATCTTGGATTATAAAATAGCAGAAAACAATCGGTCTTGATCTTTAAAATGTGCAAATTTTGAGAGAATGTCATTCATTTGTTAGACTATTCATCTGAATGAAGCGACTTGTTTTTACAAGTACAGAATATTTATTGTTTGATTCATTTTTTTTTAACTTTGCCATATAAGGGGAAATAACTCAGATAATGTAACTTTTATACTGGAATGTGTTATGAATTGTGCTATTTTGTTTTGTGACAGTTAAACGAGTAATGTGACCCTACTTTTTCATTTTATGTTTTTAAAGCCCATTATAAGAACTATCTTCTCATATTTTATCTTTATTCAATAGTTTAGTTTCTTTCTATCACACAAAAATGTGTTTTCCATGAATAATCTACAAAATCTGACAAATTTAAAAAACCTGTAGCTTGAAAAAAGCCCCGTGACCCATACTTTTTGTTATATATTTGAGAAATCATTCATATAAACTACATTTTGGCAAATAATTGAAAAAATCAATGGATTTTGATTTAGACCCTCGATCTACCTTAATCTGTAATTTAAAACATTAGGGTGGTTACGATGCAGGATTTGCTACCTTTAATTATTACCTAACATGATTCCTGGTTTTTGTCGAATATTTTGTTTTCATTGGTTTTTGTTCGCATGTCAATGTATATTCCTGTCTGATCAGTAATTTTACAGATTGTGTTCTTTTCCCTAATGGTAAATTTTGACTAATTATGGATTCGCATGGTGTTTGACGATTATTGTGTCGACACACACGGTTTCTTTCCTTTCGGAGATAATGCGATTCCCCCATCATTTTTTTTCATCTTTCCATATGAAAGAAAGGAGATGCGGTGTGATTGCCAACGAAACAACTATTTATCAAATTAAAGTGAAGTGGATGTAAGCAATTATAGGCCACCGCACGGCCTTCAACAATGAGAAAAAATCATAACTTATTGTGGGCTATAAAACGCCCCGACATAAAAAGCCTGAAACAATCAATTTAGAAAACCAACGGCCTATTTCATAAAAAAAACAATTTCCGAAAACACAAATATGACAGACATTAACCCACGACTGAATTACAGGCTTCTTACTTGGGACAGGCACACGAAGAATGTGGTGGGATTAAACATGTTTGTAAAAGCTCAACCCTTCTCTAACCCGAGACAGTGATGTTACAGCACACATAAGAACAAACTATATAAATCGTTGGAAATCAGTTGCCTTACTCAAAAGATCGGTACGAGGCACAAAACAATAACATGAGAACAATAGACACAAAGCACCGAAATAAGAGTCCTCTCGGTTACTAAAAGCTAGTTCAAAGCCAATTACAGCTAAAAGACAAAATCATGATTTCCCAAACAACAGTATTAGTCATTTTACATCCAACGGATTAAGTTTAAAGACGTCAGAAACAGTCTGAAAAACTCATGGTGCATTGCCAAAATATATGTAAACAGTATCGAAAGGATGTAGGATCATATATCATGTATATATCAATATATCTTAAGTTATGTTGTTTTAATTTTTTCAAGAAACACAATTAATACCAACAGAAGCAAATATTTAAAGATTTTACTTCAGTGTTAAATTGATAACTTTTAAGAATAAGTGTATTGAAATGATCCATTAGATAACATGGATCTATCTAAATTTAAGGACTATACAAACAACATCGCCGTATAAATTAGGATGTGGTATCCTGTTTATAATAAGAACTCTACAGGTACAGCCACATATCGTAACCAAATCTTTGTATCTATGAAGGAATTTAGTAAAGGTTTTAATTAGTTTGTGGTAACGAAATCCCTGACTTAATAATGTATCAGTTATACTTAAACTACGTTCATTGAAAGCTAAAACGCGTCTGCAGACACAGACATAGCGAACAAGTTGTGAAATGAACGCACCGTAAGAAGGAGCAAAAGGAACATAAACATCCAAAAAGGGAAAAATAACAATCGAGAACTACTAATCGTCTCTTTTGTCGTATTTTTTGTACAGAGTTTCCCGTGTGAAACTGGAATATACAAATCTAGGAAAGGAAAAGTTTTGCTGTCTGTATCAAATTTATTTAACGCAAGTTCCTTTAGGCTAATTTCCTCAGTTAGATTAGAAAATTCTTGATTATTTAAAGCAAAAACATCATCTAGGTAACGATAAGGATGTATTTTTGAATATATCAATTAAATGTAATTAAGACGGATCTTTTCTGAGTTTGGCCATGATCTGTGATTCATAACAATACAAGAACAAGTTTGCTATTTAAGGGGTGCAACTGGTGTCCATAGGAATACCTACAACCTGTCGATATTTTTATTGCCGTATCGCACATAGATGTTGTGAAGAAGACAATTAAATTTTTAAATGATCCCATCACAGTTCCAGTAAGTATAATGTTTCTAAAAAAGTTCATTGGAAGACACCAAGACCTTGTTGATAAATATTCCGTATCAACTTCACAAATATAATCTTGAAGTATAGATTCTAGGTATATACGTCAGTTACATCAGACGTAAATAGAGAAAATAATGTTCTTTCCACTTGAGACTGGGAAACATCTAGTTTTAGATATGTTCCCTATGGTCATGTCCTTACAGGAGACCTCAACATCGTCGAAGACCGTGAGGTCATAAATTTTCTTAAGAAAGGACCGAAATATCGTCCTCCATCTAAAATAAATTTGAGATAGTGTGGTCAGGTCATTAAAGACGCTCTGTCTGTCTACTGTAAACATTGGTGTAAACGTGAAAAATCTGATAAAAAATCTCTAGACAGTTATTTGAATAAAATTATGAATACTGTTAATATTCGTATATCTCATTTTGAAAACAATTCTGAAATTAGTAATAGGGTCCATGATATTCCCATTTCTAGAATAAAAAATAAACTCCAAGTACTCGCAAAGCGGTTTGTGTTCGTACCGGCAGACAAAGCAGCCAATAATGTAGTGGTGGAGTGACGCATATACTACACGAAAGTTCTCCAAAACGAAATTATAAATTCTTCTACATTCAGGTCCGTACGCTCCACAGAGAGTCAAATTGTAAACAAGCATATCACTGCCTCTACCCAGCTTAAAGCCTCTTCCGAACATTTGAAAGTCCCTACTATGTACTGGTTACCTAAATTGCACAAAAAACCATTTAAATTCCGTTTCATCTCCTCATCTAGTAAGTGTTCTACTACCAATCTATCGGTGCTTCAAACTACCTCCCTTACTCCTATCAAAGAACTTGTTATTAACTTTTGTAATAAAGCTTCTGAAAATAATGGTATTAATTATTTTTGGAGTGTTAAAAATTCTTTAGAGGTTTTAGATAAAATACATGCTTTTGATGGTCCTTTTAACTCTGTTGACAGTTATGATTTTTCTACTCTCTATACTACACTTCCACACAATCTTATCAAGAAAAATTTTTCATATTTAATCAAATGGTCTTTTGAAAAATCTCATTGCAAATTTATTTGTTGTAACTCGTTTAAAGCCTTTTTCTGTAACAAAAAAGGAAAGTATGCTAGATACACTTACTGGAAATGTGAAGATATGACTGAAGCTTTAAATTTTTTCCTGGACAACATATATGTACGTTTCGACGATAAAGTGTATCAACAAGTAGTAGGTATTCATATGGTTACTAACTGCGCCCCTTTATTAGCAGATGTATTCCTGTATTGCTATGAATCTTAGTTTATGACCAAACTCAGTAAAGACACGTCATTGTTACATTTGGTTGATACATTCAACAATTCCTTCCGTTATCTGGATGATATTTTTGCCTTAAATAATCCAGAGTTCTCTAAATGTACTACCTAAATTGACCCAAAAGAACTTAAT